TTCGCCCATGGCCGGTAAGATGAAACCTGAGAATCTGCCTTTCCGCGTATGGAGCACAGACATCTTGGTAGAGGGTGTAGGATGGATAGAAGTCTCAGCGCAAACCCGCAGACCACAAGGCTGGAAACCCTCTGGTCTCGTCAAGAAAGATCCCAACCAAGCCAAGTTCGACCGTGTCACGCGTCTCAAGGAGGAAGAAGAGCGGAAGAATCGAAAGTTCGCTGCGATTGCGAGGGCAGAGGAAGAAGGGAGAGACCCGGAAGAGGTGCTCGAGGAAGAGTTCTACGACGACCATATGAAGGATCGGATGGCGGAGTGGGAGGAGGATTACCCCGAAGTGGAGGTGTTCAGTCCGTTGGGCAAGTTTGTGGGACAGAGGAGACCGATGTGTGCGAGCATGGTCAGTGGGCCCAAGTATGTGGCTAGTAGGGATAGGAAGGTTAGGCCGAGAAGGAGCATGGTCAGTGTTAAGAAGCAGAGGAAGCCAAAGGGTGCTGAGTAGGAAGACTTTGTTGCTCAAACAACATGTAGATTAGCTATGTACAAGATGTCATGACACGTTTTACGACAAACTATAGTTGTACTTTTCAACGTTTAATGTTAATCATGTTCCACGCAACATGATTCCATGATGCGTAGAATCATCATCTCTGGTCCTCGGGACAGTGCAAGCTCGTACGCCATACTCCAATATCGATCTTTACCTTTCCAATACAAATCTACTCCAAACCTCTACCTGTTCTTCTTGCGTTGCAAAGTGTTCCTTATCAGAAGGCGACCAATCTTTCCAAGCAATATGCCTATGCACTTTGCTCCTAGTTCTTGCCCTGCTCAAGAACAGCCCAAAATGCTTCTTGTTCCTTTGCGCAAGTCTTGCCATCCTTATCGCAGCCAGGGAAGTTTGCTACAAGATCTCCGTCCTTGTACTGACCATCCTTCTCAGCCGCGGGTCCGGTCGCGTAGGCATTGAGGAGGTTCTGTGGTACCATGGCTAGTTTAGCAAGGATGGTCCCATGCCATCTAAAGGTTTGACAGTCAGCGATCATGTCCTTGTAGCGTTACGCAGCTCATTCTTCGAACGCGGATATAGGAGGAGAAAACTCACTGGACAATATGCTCCAAAGCATGGGTTTCGGCCTTCTGAAAGTTGTAACTTCGGTAAATAGGATCGAACCAAGCATCCAAGAAGAACTTTGCCCACTCCCCGTTCCTCACAACAAAGCTACTCGGCGCCAGTCCATCTTTGTCCTGTGTAACGACGAAATCTATTCTGTCGCCTTTGAGGTTGCCAAAGGTCTTGATGACGCTGTCTGGCGGCACGACGGGTGCGTTGGTGATCATGTGGGTTTCGAGTTTGGCGGGAGTGAGCAGGTGGGTGTGGATGGGGAGAGCAGTGTTCATGATGAGGGCGCTGGAGTCGAGGTACCAGAAAAAGGTTGAGGTAGGATAGAGGGTCATGGCGTGGCGGATGCCGGGGACGCGCGACCAGGAGGCAGGCGAGTTGGAGATGGGGTATTGGTCGTTGGTGGGGAAGAAGGTTAGGTAGCCTGAGAGTGGTTGTGAGTAGGGATCTAATGCGATGTGTGTTGCAGAGGCTCATGACGTACCGTGTCGTTTGGCGTATTCCTCCCTATTGCTCTTGATTTTTTGCATCCATACTGGATCGGCCTTGGGGTCTATAACCGTCACCACCACCACAGGCGGTCCGCTCCCGATGTTCGGCTTTGGGATATTTGCTGCTGTCCAACCTCCAACTTTAGACTTGGCCCTGCTAGTCCCGCCGCTGCCACTCAGCATCCATATCAGGACAAAGAAGCCCAGTATGCCGCCGACAATCAATCGTCCTGCCCTGCTTCGTAGGAGGTTCTTGAGCGCAGGCGGCAGCGCAATTCCACCGCTCTGGTTGCGGGCTGCATATGGCGGTGGTCGCGATGTCTTCCTTGGGGGCATGGCGAAATGCATGGTGTGTGATAAGCGTCCGTGGTCGGGGAGATCACTAGTGATCGCAATTGCGGTTGGGTGAAGCGAAGCGGGAGATGCGACGTGTAGATCGTGAGGTTGAAGAAGAAGGGATATGGCGTCGAAATCGTTACGACACCATTGCTGACGGGAACACGGTTTAGCAGCCTATACAATAGAATAAGGCACAGCTGAGGGACGGGGGCTGCTGTGCGGTCGCAGAAAGGGACGAAATTCCTAAAGTACACGCGACGACATGGGATGCGATACGATAGCCCTGGAGGCCTTGGCAGGAGGGACCTTGCCTTAGCGGCCGCAGGCAGGGGGCACTGAGAATGCGCAGTCGCGCTTCCATGAGCAGCCATGTGCCTTTTGACAGTCGGAATCGACCTACTTGTCAATTGTTGATGCTTCTGGCCTTGTTAGCTCTACTGCTCAATGCCACGCTTGCACATGGTGCAACTCCTCCAGGTTGCCCTAACTCCGTTTCGAGCCCGGCATCGTCAACCTGTCGCATACAACAGCATTGTCAGCCTAACAATCGTCTCAGAAATAGACACATTACGGTCTTGGTACTCGCGACTACTAAGCGGAGTCGGTCGATACGGGAAGCTGACGCTGGTTGGCCTCGTTGCGAAGACGCTCGTATTCGCCGACTTTCACCCGCGATGAGTTGACCATGTATGCGCTGCGCGGAAGAAGCATTTCTCGAAATCTATAGAATGGGAAAACAGGTACACTTATTGGGTATGCTGATACATCACGTAGAGCGTGATTACCACGACGTCTTCAAGGCACGCATGCCAAGACTAGTGAACTGTTGTATCAACACCTTGAGTGATGGAAAAGTCCAGCTGGGAGACCCGCAGCTAAAGCGGAAGCTCGGTACAGTTGCCAAGCAATATTCTCATCAATCCGCGATGTGACGCTTGCTTGCTAATATCAGAAGCTCATAGCTTTGCAGCTACTTCTGCGTTACCCGCTATGACGTCGGCTACCTGTCACAGTAAAGGGACAAAACCCATATGAAAAGTGCGAAAGATCGCCATCTTCCCAGCATCTATTCACATCCATTTCCAACTCACAAGTCATACCTCTAATTACACTTCATCCTAATCCATCTTATCCACCAATACACAACAAACCGCAATCATGGTTGAGAAGATTATGCAACTGAAATGCGACTGCAACCAGTACCCCTGGGGGAAGCAAGGCTCGAAGTCGCTCGCTGCGACCTTGTGCGAGAAGACCCCAGGCACAGACTTCAAGCTTGATGAGAACACAAGCTATGCTGAGATGTAAGTTTTCTGATGATATGGCCGAATGCTATCTAACATTCCACAGGTGGATGGGCACATATCCTGAGTTGCCTTCGTATGTCCTAGAGACTGGCGAGGACCTTCAAAAGGTGCTCGACAGGCATCCTGATGAGCTTGTTGGAAAGAAGACTGCCGACAAGTTCAACCACACAAAGCTGCCATACCTACCCAAGGTCCTGTCAATAGCAAAGGCCCTACCACTACAATTGCATCCAGTACGTTACATTTCTACATCACCATACCTATCGTTAACACGATTATAGAACAAGGATTTGGCTTCGAAGCTGCATGCAAAGAACCCTGATCAATTCACAGACCCAAACCACAAGCCAGAGATCGCGTTGGCTCTGGGCGACTTTGAAGCTTTCTGCGGCTTCAAGCAACTCAAAGACATCGAGCGACTGATGCAGCTGCCACCTCTTCAACCTTTCCTTCCAGAGGTCAAGAAGCCCGAGTTCGATGATCAGATTCTAAAGCACGTTGTCAGGGAAATGCTCATGGCCTCTGAGGATGCCGTACGCAAGACCAACGACGCGCTGATGAAGATTCCCAAGGAGCAATTCGGCGAATTCAGCTATATCCCGGACATGATTCCACGTTTGGCTGAGCAGTACGACAAAGCGGACAACGGAACTCTTGTTGCCCTCGTCACCATGAACTACCTCCAGCTCAAGGCTGGTGACAGCATCTACATTCCTGCCGACGGCATTCACGCATATCTCTCCGGTGATATCATCGAGTGCATGGCCCGATCGAACAACGTTTTGAACACCGGCTTCTGCCCGCGTGCTGACCGTGACAACATCGACATGTTCTGCTCTTCTTTGACCTTCACACCACATGATGCCAAGGAGGCTATCCTACCAGCGAAACCTTTCGATGGAAGCAAAAACGGCAAGACGCAACTCTACGCGCCTCCTCTAAGCGAGTTCAGCATGCTGGCTACAACCGTGGGCGATGGTGATTCCGAGGCCATCCGGTCGCTTGGCGGACCCAGTGTCATGATCGTAACCGAAGGCGAGGGTACCATGAAGGGCAACGGCAAGGAATACAAGCTGAGTGCAGGTTACATTTTCTTCGTCGCGCCAGGTGTAGAGTTAGAGTTCAAGGCTACTAAGCAGCTCAAGGCGTTTACAGCCTTTGTAGAGTAGATCGGTCGGATATGTACCTAATGATGAGGCTCAACCTTGCGGAGGTGACCTGGCGGCCGATTGGAGGGACTAGAGTGTTCCCCGCACCTTTCACGTGCGCATACAATCAGCACTACGGATGTACTTTAGCTGTGTAGTTATATAGCCAAGAACTTTATGAGAATGAGCGGAACGCGTTCGGATCCGCATGCACGCGTGCTGTTGATACCCACATGTATCCTTGCTTCCCCGCACTTGATGACAGGCACCCCTCTACAGCTGGGAATAGCTATAAAACCCCGCAATGGAGCTCATGCTTGCTTGGATGAGTAGAGCTGTTCATCCATGCTAATTGATTGCTTCTTCTTGGTCGCGTTGAGCTGAAACTTGACCCTGTCGAATCCTAGAGCTGCCTGAAGCTTGCCAGCAATACCACCAACATCAATTACATTTTATTACGAGGTTAGGAACAAACAAGCAAGTTACAAAAGCAAAAGTAAAGCTATCCCATGAATCTGTTACAAAACATGACAAAAGCTGAATCAAGCCTGTTGACACGATTCGAAGCAGTTTCAACCGCCCAACTCCGACCATGGCAACCACGGCCCCAATGCCGGCGGAGAAACGCGACTCAATGGAAGCCACGGCGAGTAGTCTTGAAGCCAAGATGAAAGCGGCTTCAATCAACCAGACACCGCGTAAGCGACCTCTCGGGCTCACAGACCTTCCTCCGTCCGTCCGCAACAACATCTACAAGCACTGTCTCGACGCCGAACTAGTCAACCTTGGCAAGCCAAATGTCTCCTACACCCACACCATCTCCAAAGAAGATGGCATCTTGTCCTTCTCAGCCTCGCGCAACCCTTTCCCTGTCAATACGGCTCTCTTTACCATCAACAAAGAGATAAGCAAGGATGCCCTGTCCTACTTCTACGAGAAGAACCTCTGGGTACGATTAGATGTTTACACAAGCGATGCACGACATGCAAAGACACTACTCGAAGACTCGGGCCTACTCTTTTCAACATCCAAGGGCGCACTAGTCGAAAAGGCTACACGCCATGCCCTCGAAGTTGTTCTCGTGGAGAAGAACAGCAGTCAGAAGCGTGCTTCGGTTATGTTTCCCGCTCAGTATTTGCCTCGATTGATCAATTTCTTGGACCAAGCGAGCAGAGCGACGAAGACGTGGGCACAAGGTCGTAGTCTCTTCCTAAACGTTGTGAACACATACAGTTTCCCTGTATCAAAGCTACAGGGGGATCTACTGGAGCTTTTCCGTTTGTTGAGCGGGTTCGGCAAGGTGGAAGTTGATGGCAAGAACCTCTTACCTCGGTATGCGGAGGGCCTGCAGAACAATATGATGGGCGAGAGCTTCACGGCAGACGGCTATCTGCAGAGTGTAACAGAGTTATGTGATTTGGCGGATGAGGCTAGGGAGAAGGAGAAGTATCAGTTGGCGAATGAGTATGCACACGCTACTATTATTGCGTTGACGTATGGGTACTTGACGCATGCTGAGACGCTGCATTCGCAGGAAGATGACTTCAACAAGTCCATTCAACGACTGCGCTGGCGGACGGAACTTGGGTTGGGTATCAGCTTGTCTATTCCGCTGAGAGGTCTTACGACTAGTAAGCATTGGTTAAGGACACAGAACCCGACGGAGGAGATTAGGAAGGCGGCACGCGATCTTCTGCTGGCAGAGACTTCGGTTTCGAAAGCGCTGAGTCTGGCACAGGATTCCCCGTCTCCGGCGTCGAATCCTTGGTTCCACTCGCTTCCTGTCGAGCTCATTCCGCCGAACAAACCCACCTTCTTCACCGATCGCGAAAAGGCACAGACGTGGTATGCGCTAGGTACTGTACATATGGCTTTGGGCGAATACATCTTTGCTTGTGGCGACATGGAGAGAGCTTTGGAACTTTGGGGCAAAGACACAGGCATCGATGAGGAAGACGGCTTGAGAAGCAAGATCGAGGAGTCTTTCGAGAAGGCAAGGAAAGGTATCGATGGTGACGCGGAGAGTATGTGGGTCGGTGAAGTCAGGCCAGGAACAGGACTGAAGACTGCGGCTTCTCTGGCAAAGGGACTGTAGGATGATCTGAGGAAGTAGAGATCTTTCATCGATACAACTAATCAGTAAGAGTAGAGATCACTTCTCACAAACCCCAATGAAGACGTATAATTATCAACTCTGGAAACGTTAAAGTTTTTCTGTCTTAGCGCGGACACGCTTGAGGATTTTAGCTGCTCGTACATTGGTGTTTTATTGTCTTCAATCATAGTGTTTTACTTTTGAGCCTATGCATGCTACTACCGCAATCTGAAGCTCCTTCTGATAAGTCTTTGAACACGTAGTGATTATGATTTGCACATATTCATTGATAACATTTATCTTACAACCGAAAATTTTTGAAACCATATTTATGATGATCTCGTAACGCCATTATGGGCGAAACATTGGTAATCCGATGATAGGAGAAAGACAAAGGATATAATTGCTGAATACGTATCCGAACTTTTGTGTATTGCCTGCTGCATGGTAATCGTATATGAAACGAGTGGTAAATGGACTTTGGAAGGATGGATAATACAGCGAAGTAGAATTGGACTTGATAAAGTGGCAGAAGACCGTCAGCCAAGTTCGAGGTCGGATTGGACCCAGGAACGATCTTGGATAGCGGCCATGAATGAAGTTTGGCCGTCTCGTCGTTGATGTATATCTAAATTCAAAGGCGCCCCGCTTTTGACGTTGAAAATGACTTTTGGTGGTTAGGATGTGGTGGATTGTCATCATTTGAGGCGCTCCTGTTGACGATTATAGTAGCTAGATGTCGTGAGACCGGGCGTATGCTGACTGCACCTCCGCTCCAGGTACCCAGTGCTTGGGTCGTGCCACCATCATTCCTGGGTATGGCTGGAGGGGTTCTTTCGGTGTAGGCAACATCGGTCCAGTGGGAATTGGTGGATCAGGTGACTTAGCAAAGAACTGTTCGAGCGTTTCGCCTCTCTCGAGGGCCTGGAACTGGTCTTGTCGGAATTCCTCTAGCACTGATGACTCTACAGGCTTCGGATCAAAGTAAGTGTATGTCCTCGTGCCTTTGGTACCTGGAAGACCAGGCGCTTTGTACTCGGCAACACCGTCCTCGTACGTCTCATAGGTGGAAACAAGACGTTTTCCACCGCCTCCAGGGAGGTCAATGACAAATGATGGCATCATGAACCCGGATAAGGTCCCTCGAAGTTCTTTGTCCAGAGTGATGATCTTGCTGAGAGGCGTCCGGAGGTCTTCGATGCCCTGTACCATATCGCATTGATAGATATAGTATGGCTGTATGTTGATGTTTGAGAGCTTCTTAATAAGATCCGAGAGCGCCTCAAAATCATCGTTGACACCTTTCAACAAGACAGCCTGATTGCGAACAATGACGCCATGCTTGAAGAGCTTGTTCGCGGCCAGCTCCGTTATCCATGTGATCTCATTCGCGTGGTTGATGTGGGTATGGAGACATACTTGCTTCCCCATGCTGATGGTTGCTGTCAGTAAACGTCATAGTCAGAGTGACAACCGCCAGACTCACTCTCGCCCTTTGTTGGACACCTTGATCAAGCTATCAACCCACGGATCAGAGTTGTCGAGTATCCGACCAGGGGCCACAGCAAGCCCCTTTGAAGCGAATCGGACTCGTTTGATATGTGGAATGTTGAGAAGCCTCTCGCCAATCTCTTCAATATGCTCAGGTTGTAAGAAATAGGCGTCACCTCCGGAAACAACAATGTCTTCGAGAGAGTTGTCGTTGGCGATATGCTCGAAAACTACTTCCCATCGCTTCCGGCTCGGCTTCTGGGGTTTCTTCGATACAGTATCTGTGTTTCCGCCGACTGCATACGAACGTGTGCAGAAGCGACAGTATACAGGACAAATCGATGTGGCCAAAAACAAGGCTCTTCCGGGGTATCGATGTACTAGGCCAGGTACAGGACTGTCTGCTTCTTCGTGTAAAGAGTCCAGTTCCATGTTCTTGTGGTCGGGGATTATGCCACTTCGGAGAGGAAGAAACTGCCTCCGGATGGGATCGTCCACAGCATTTTCCCAATCAACTAATGAGAGTACATGTGGTGTTAGACGGATAGCCATGGGCGCCAACTTGATGGCTGCGATCTGTACATAGGTCAACATCGACATATGTACGAGGTAAGACCAGCTATAAAGTCACATACAGCGTCCTCGATGAAGTGATCCTTGGTACGAATCTTTTGAAATTGAGAATGCTGCGAGCGGACTAGTTTTTCAGGCAAGGCAGCATTGAGAAACTGGTAAAGCTTGTGCTTGTCGGATACGGTATTGCGAAGCTGTGACAATCAGTATCAGAATAAGCTGTGTATGGTTGTAGTAGAACAAGGTTGGCGGTGAACGTACCTGCCACCGGTAGGATATGAACTCATCATTGGAGACATCTTTCCAAGGCTGTATATGGTTCCAGTAGGGCTTCTGGCCTGTGAAGGTCGACTGGGCTTTGCAATGCTGTAGTGATCGCGTTGCGTGGATAAAGCCTGGTCGGAGAGGCTGGCTCCTGGCTATGGTCTTGGGAGCGAACATGCCTGCGTATGTGTGTGTGAGGAGAGGTTGTGTGGAAAGCAGGGACGTGATTGAATTTGAGATGGGAAGAGATTGGTGCTAGAAATAATTTCCGCATCTAGGGAATTTGTTTATCGAGCTTGTCACACCGTTGCGTAGCCCAATGGAAAGTGCTGCCGCTCGCCCCGCCGTCTAAGCAGGAGCGATGTATACTATGTTACAACGGCAGCAAGGATGGGGCTAAAGTGGGTCTCCAGTAAATATGGAGAATCCCGCTACGCTCATTCGAACAGCACTAGGTTTGATATCGTGATTCGACGTAGGTTTATGCCTATGATGCGTTTCGACGTTGCCTTTGTTGAGAAACCCCTCATCTCTGGCTTGCGTGCAGCGCTCTTAGTGAATGGATGACGCTTGTGGCGCGTGCTTGCAATCCGTGGCGGGACATAGTTCCGGTCGCATGCATACGATTTGGAGCAGCAAAAGGGGCCGGTGAAGAGACAATAGCATGATGCCAGCGTCAGAAAGGTAGTGGAGCAACAATGGTAGGCTCTCGGTGCTGTATTGCCATTCGGGACGAATTTCTTAGGTGGGTTTAGAGACTCAGCTTGTCAGTGTAGCAACTTGAGATGATAGCTCGTGGCCAGCGAAGATCTATTCCTGATAGGGTTATTGGAACACAATAGTCTATCCTGCACTTGCGAGGATTATGGGCCAGTATACAATTCGAGAAGGCGAGTCTACAAGGATCGCTAGTTTACCCCCTTCCACGGTCCCGACCCCTGGGACAAGCCATAATCCCAGAAACTGCAAGTGGGCATGCACATGTGTGGTACTGCACGCAAGTACTGCATTAGCTTTCTCGTATGTTGGAAAAAACAACCAGACTCGCATTGGCCGAGACCCTTGGGCTGCATTGCTCACAAGAGAGTCGCAAAATTCAGCGACTCGATTCCGGAACGGAGCAGTACCACTTGTCAGCAGGCGCGATGGGAAGAAGCCGGCAGATGAAGATGACACGGCCCGTACCGCGCGTACAAAGGAGGGTGATGAACCTGATTGCCGGGCTCACAGGTTCACGACGATGTTGTGATCAAATAAGCGGTTAGCAGGAGTCGTGGTAGTTGCAGACAGTACCGGCACTAGCGGGGCCTCTACAAAGCTCCGTAGCCTTTCCACTAGACAGGTGCCAAGCCATGACCTCAGCCCCTCCAGACAAGCGCGCGAGCTGCAATTACGATCATCAGCTACCGCGACGACAACTCAACTCTTGACTTCACGCCACCACCACAGCCATGGCTGACTCCCCCGCTTCCACGAATAGCGCACTGCCTGGCGAGTCGCCTGCCCAGACTAAGGCCAGATTGCGGAGAGAGCGTCTAGCCGCCAAAAGTGGTGCCTCTCGTCTTCAACAGATCACTGCTCTACAAGGCGGCCCACCAAAAGATCTCAAGGAAATTGAGAAAGATGTGCCAGGTAACCATGCTCCCCCCTCCCAGCAGATTAGTATCCACATAGTCAATTCTAGCTCCGTCCTACAACAGCGTGAAGGCACGGCTAATCGCGTTCTAGTCAAACCCGCCTCTACCCCATCCCAGTTCACACCCGCTGCCTCTGGCACGGCTACTCCAGATCCAGATGAGGTGGATATCTCACAGCACCACTACGCGCCCGCCTCGCAGCCTCGTCTCCCGTCCCCCTTTGCTTTCGAGGGAAACCAGTCTGGCCCGTTCGGCCCCGGGCCCGGTTCCGATGCATCGCAGGATCCTATGATGGCTATGCTGCAGCAGATGATGGGCGCTGGGGCCGGCGGTATGCCTGGCATGCCTGGTGCTCCAGGTCAAGCCGGTGCGCCACCTGGCGGTCTGCCACCTAATCTTGCCAATATGTTTTCCGCGATGCAGGGTGGTGGCGGTGCCTCTGAGCCGTCACCAGAGCAATCTTCGGCCTGGATCTGGCGGTTGGTACACTCTGTCTTCTCGTTTGGTCTTGCCGTCTACATTGTCCTACAAACCCCCTTTACTGGAACCAAACTGTCACGCGATAATGTACTCGATGATGACTGGACCTCCCAATCCACTCCGGCGCAGAACTTTGCGCACTTCTTCTACCTCTTTGCGACTTTCGAGGTTGTCTTACAGTCCTCGCGCTATTTCATCGAAAAGGGCCAATTAAGGGGGAGCGGTATCCTCAGCACAGTGGCTGGAATCCTGCCGGCGCCGTATTCAGGCTATGTGCGGACTGTGGGCAGGTACAGCGTCATCTACAGTACAGTTGTGAGCGACGCTATGGTAGTAGTATTTGTCCTAGGCGCCACAAGCTGGTGGAGGGGTGCTGAAGTTGCATAAAGCTGTGCGATCTTGGGCGTTGATAGAACAATGGTATGACGGACGCCTTTGTACCCGGCTCCTTTTCGATGCAGCGCTCCACTCAGTCCTACCCAGGCACGCCATGGTTTCCTAACGATCCAGTCAATGCCTTAACACTACGCCACAGTCTGGGACGAACGAACATCGCACCCATCTCAGTGTTCACGTGAGGGAAAACAAATCAGCAACATATCTCTGAAGTCGCTCCTATTGGGTGACATTGCAACTGTTCATGGATCATCATTACCACGAAAGTTTAGCTAGTGTATGCACATCATACCTTGTGACACGTTCCTCGGAGAGAGCGTACATCAACCCCCTTCTACACATTGTACACGCTCGCACTGCGTGGGCTTCATGCACATCATTAGTGTACGTTGTTTGATTGCTTTAATAGCATGAGACCTGCAAATCCTTTTTCCAGACGCCCGGAATCTCATCAATCATGCGCACATGGCAGCCAGCATTCGTTGGGCAGTCAGGACCCGCTACATGGCTACCAGCAGTAATATCTCGATAACACGCGTCGCTCAACAGCAAGATACGCCTCGCGTTCTCGTCTGTTCCCGTCTCTGGTGGATAGCGCGTACGGTGAAGAGCGCACCCGCATACGCGTTACGTGCCCACCGCCACATTCGTCTTGCGTAAAATTTACTGTTCTTTTCGGCGAAGAATCCCGGGTCAATGTCAATCGCAGTCGTGCATGATGCAATCTCGTCTCGAATTCCCATGCTTTCACACTCATGACCTATTGATGCTTCACGACTGTTGCTTCAATGATCTCAGTAGTATGCGCCACGAGTCATATATCGAGACGTGGCGTCGTCAGGCCCTTTCAACCGGTTTCACAGCGTTGGTTGACAAGGACACGCGCAGCTTTCCGCGGGAGGATTCTTTACAACAACTTGAGATGCCCAGTAACCTGATCTATGACGCCCTTAGGTGCAGGGCCGATACCTAGCACCGTTGCACTTCCGCTCGCGATTTGTGTCCGTCCCGCATCGTGTATAATGTGTGCCACTAAACCTAGGCTCAGTGCTTGCGCCTGTAATAGTTCCAACTCTTCCTCGCTCTTGACTTGCAACGCCACCTTCGCTTGACCCATACGTTCCCAGCGTCGCAGTAGCGTCGACTCGGGCGAGTGCTTGAGGAAGTGTTTGTAGCAGGCCAGTGTCGCGTGCCCGCACTGTGCGCCAATCTTGCCTATTTCATGGTTAGATATCTTGTAGATAGTAAGTGTGTGTAAAGATTTGCAGTACCTTTAGTCATGCCGAGATCCGTTCGTACTACCAATACCATCTTGCACTCTTCGTTGTGACCTGGGAATTCTGCAGGCGTGCTGTCGTCGTCTTCGTCGCTTGACTCATCTTCTGAATCTTCTGCTTCCTCTTTCTCAGATTTTGTTGGCTGAGAGACTGGGCTGCCCCCGAAGAGACCAAGCGACTTCGCTTGTCCCAGAAAGTAGCCTGTTACACCAGCGAGTATGGCGCATGCGGCTGCTATGTTTGCCGTAGACGGCTGTTGGGGAGTGTCTGCCATGCGTGCGGTTGACGGTTGTCTCAGATATAGAAGACAATAATTTTACAACAGACGGAAAGTGGGAATTAGGTTACTTCCAGGTAATAATTAAGTGAAAGCAAGAGTCATGTCGTTCCGTGGTTCACTTCCGCCCGCAATTGTAGAGCTAAACGTAAGGCTAAGGTCCGTGCTGAAGACTTCACGAATTTGCGGACTACCGAGCACATCGCCTATCCATCACGACGGCACCACCGCTGCCTTCGTCACCACACACCATGCCTCCCCGGTGCCAATTACTCTCTGGCCGTCTCCCAACTCAGGGATTGGCCCTTCGCCCGGCAAAATCCACACACCGAACCTACGCGACGTCCGAGGATCCCACTCCCGCAGTGAAGAACCCGCTGCAGCGACGACGCGGCGGTGATCTCGGCTCCCATCTTCCCAAGAACGTCATCCCGAAAGATGCATACATCCCCGCATATCCCTATGGCGACCACCAGTTGTTCAAGCAAGCCAACAAGGGTCTCTACGGCGAGCAGATGATCCGCTTCGGCAACAATGTCTCCAAAGACACCGAAACCAAGACGCGAAGGAACTGGAAGCCTAATGTACTCTCCAAGAGTCTATACTCGGTTGCATTGAAGAAGAGGATAAAGTTGCGCATCACCGCCAAGGTTCTCAAGACCATGGATCGTGAGGGTGGGCTGGACGAGTACCTACTCAAGGACAATGTGGCACGTATCAAAGAGCTTGGACCTATGGGATGGGCGCTACGATGGACACTCATGCAGAAGCCGGAAGTCATCGAGCGGTTACGAGCAGATGCTGCTGCTCTAGGCCTGGACCAAGCCGCAATTGACCAGCAATGGCCTACACTCCAAATGCAGGCCGAGCAAAGGGCAGCTGAGGGTACATTGGTCCGGAACGTAAACTCTGGCGCACCTGTGGATTTGGAGTTTGCTGAGACAGAAGGACAAGAGATGTGGGCTGGAGAGGAAGTCGAAGACCCAGCGGCGCTAGAGAAACGCGAAAAGTACATTGAGTCCCGTGCTGCCATCGAATACACAAAGGCAACCAAGGCAGCAGAACGCTACCTCAGCCGAGGTGTCGTCGACAGCGTGGAGGAAGGTCTCAAGTTGGCTTTCATACGAGCCAGGGAGCGCGAAGAGGCAGCCGCACTCCTCAAGCACAAGTCTGTCAGGAAACAACAAGAGGCAGGCTTCACAAAGGCAGAGCTACAGGAAATCAGGACAAGATTCAACCTCCCCAACATCAAAGACCATACAGCCAGGAAGATCGCTTACAACCAACGAAAACGCAAGATGATCGACGAAGCTGGTGGCATTGAAGCCTGGAACGCATCCAAAGCCGCTGCTCATCTTGCCCGCGTAGCAGAAGCCGGTGGAGAAGAAGCTTTCCTGAAAGCGCGGAAAGCTGAATACGCTGCTCTTATCGCGGAAGCGGAGACTGCTTCTACCAACGAGGCTATCGACGCTGAACGACGGACTTACTACCAGATTGCTATCGAGAGGGCGGACCGAGCTATCAAGGCCAAGGCTGGTAGTGGCGAAGCCGACTATGTCGAGTCGACCTTGGAGGAGTTCCGCAAGCGAAGTGGTGGTGGTCTGAGTGAGATTTACCGCGCGGCGCAAAGGGAGAGGAGTGCGGGTGGTGATGCTTGGGGCGCGCTTGTCAATTCGAGTAAGAAGCCTGCGGATAACCGGCCGCGCGTGTAGTAGAAGTTGTATGACTGAGATGTTGATATGTACAAATACTGTTTGTATACCATGGACTTTTACGAACAGCATTTACGCTACGCATTATCGTGTGCCATCTCGTTCGCTTTTGAATTAAGCAGTCGCTATCTCGCTTGCCATGGCGGCTCCTATCCACATTTCACTTTCTATTGACGTATCTTCAGATCAGACGGGTTTCAGGTGTGCATCCTTCACAACTTCTGGCAAGGCTGGCGCCGATCCTTGATCAGGTCATTGGTGCGCTTAGCTCTTGCCTGATGGAGTTGCAGGAGGATGCATGGGAGGCGGTGTCAGAACTTGCGATTTCAGCTTCAACCCCAATCGCACCTTGACTACGCTCAATACGACATTGTTCATCTTCTCATTATCTGGTAACATCGCGCCATCTTGCTACTCTTGTCTGGGCCACTTTTCGGTAGCTCAAAACTATAATTCTTGACGCCATCTTCAGCCTTGTGCCTTGCCAACGATAACATCAAGGATGGCTGCACATGACGTGGAAGACATCTGGGAATCTGCAGATGGTGATATGAATACCGAGCAGGTGGAGCGAGTCACCAACCTCGACGAAATGTTCACTGAGGCTATCAACTGGAAATCCATCGAGCGCGGTCGTGACGGTCATTCTTCTTTAGAGGATCCATATTTTGGCTCTCGATCTCCCATTGGAATGAACTTCACACGAGCTAAGGCTGGTGGAATAGACGATTATGGTACATCGAATCTCAGCTCGGGCTACCGCCGGCAATCTCCAATATCGGCCTTTGACTCCCCAGCAAGTTTCATGACCGCGAGCAGCCGTGCTACCTTCTTCAGTGCAAGGTCAACGTATAGTAGTCCTGCATACACGTCAGCGAGCGGCTACAATCCAGCGACGAGGATTGAAACCATTCGCGAGGATGAGCCGCCCGCGCCTGGACTCTCGTCACTGCTTATACAATTACATAAAGACTTCTACTCCCGTCTTCGTGAGCGAGAGATCATTCAGCCTTTTGACAAAGAACTCAACTGGTCTGGCAAGGGCCAGCACGTTACATTTTCGGCCACAGACGTGATCCCACTGTCACACATATCGCATCTAGGGTCATCCATGTGCGCGAGTGTCGACAAAGTACTCTGTCGTAGGGTAGCTCTTGCACGGAAAACCATGAGGTGTGATCGAAGATGGACTGTGACCGATGCTCTACAAGAGGTCTATCATCTACAGAACCTCCGCCATTATCACATTGTTCAGCTTGTGGGGACCTATCTTCAAGGTCGTAACTTCTCGATCTTAATGTATCCAGCCGCGGACATGCATCTTGGGACATTTCTAGAAGACACACTGGATATGTCTATGGAGGATTCGATGGATCGCAGATATTTCCTCGGTTCAACACTAGGCTGCCTTACTTCAGCTGTGGCTTTCATCCATGAACAGACGACAAAACACATGGATATAAAGCCTCACAATATCCTTGTCAGATCCGATGGCTCTTGGCGGCGTGTCTATATCACCGACTTTGGACTCTCGCGTTCTTTTGCTTCGCAAGGTCACAGTCAAACCGATGGTCCTACCTCACGGACGCCTAGATACTGCGCACCCGAAGTGTATAATTACGAACAAAGAGGTCGATCTGCAGACGTATTCTCGCTTGGCTGCGTTTTCCTCGAGATCCTGACCACTGTATGTCACATAGATCTGCATGTATTTACTGATGCGCGCCGGGGTGACGGTGACGATGAATCATTCCATGCAAATCTGGAAAGAGCAGTTTGGTGGGCTCGCCGAAACCTACGTGCTTCCAAGCCTGTTATAAACATTAAAAGGGGGGCGGTTGCTGATGATGCCGTACTGGAGATGGCTGCCGAATTGGTTATCAGTATGGTCGCCCAAGAACCTGAGAAGAGGCCCACAGCAGTGGGAGTCCTTAGCCATCTCACGAGTCTACCACTAAGGCCCTTTGGGCCCATGCACTGCTGCCGTAGCCCCCCGGAGCTCTATGAAGCATATGAACCCCCTTGCTGAACACATGGGATTGTAAACTCGAACATCCAGTAAATAGTATCACATGGCACAAAGACAATACAAAGCTGAAGTCATAACGTCTTAAATTCCGTATAAAAATGAATCTCAACATCTCCATCTCTCCTTTGCACTTGAAACAGAGCACGTATAGATGATCTGGCCCATGCTTCCCGCAGATATTGCCACCAAAGCGGGTCAACTTCCTCTTTCCATCTTAAGCTGCGTTCTTTACAGCTACCCCCACTTCCGTCATCGTCGATAATGTACAAGAACGAATTATGTTAACCTACGACAGATTGGTAGGTGAAAGAAACAGAGAAACAGATAAGCAAAAATATGCCCACAAAACGCCAGCGAAGAAAGCGAGAAGCAAACAGGCAAGCAAGAAAGATATCCGCCCGAGCTGAAATGGGGTAATAATGTTGGAGATCTAACGCCAGGACGGAGAAGACTGGTGAAAAGTACGATTCAATATGGAAATCGGGAGAGGGATAAACGCCGCGCTATACAAGAGATAGAGATGCGAAAATGTTGCGAGAAGAGAGGTCGCGGAAGAGTGGGAAGGCGAGGGACAAGTGATGAAGGACTAGTTGCCCGCCTTCATCCTCTTGTTACCTCCCACCCTTGGGCTTTGCTTGACCTTTTGCCCGCCGTTCATATCTCCGCCACCGTCATCGTTGTCCATCTTTACTGTGCTCCGCCGCCGCTTGTTGTTCATCATGTTTGGAGATGTGTTGACGCTCATAGTATGTGAACTAGTGCTCTGTTGCTTCATCATGGGCTGCGAGTTAGGCGAGGGTGTATGTTGGAAGTGAGGCGACCCACCCATTGATCCGTTAGGAAGAAGGGAGTTCTGCATCGCGGGTGACATGAACATTTGAGGCTGGCCGGGGCCTCCTGGTCGCGGGCCGGGCTGCATGTTAGGTTGCATGCCTGGTCCCTGTTGGGGCCCTTGGTTCGGGTGCTGCGGGCCTTGAGGACCGCCTTGGGTGTTTGCCATGTTGTTGTTCCATGACTCCAGAGCTTCGCTTGGCTTCATATGAGGGTTCTCGAGGTAGTGTACCATCAAGCTTGTCATGTGGTTCATTGGCTCGTAAATCTATGCTTGTTAGTGTTAACGTCCATGAAGATGATGTGGAGAAGATTCTTACCTCAAGATAGGCCTGCAAGCCGTGAGGCAGCCCATAGTCTGTAGTACTAGCACTAAGCAGCTTGTTGATGGGTAGATACGCTTCTGGCGGCTCAACCCCTCGTTGCTGCGGTGGACCTGCCTTCTTCTTCATCCGCGGCGACTGATTTGGATTCAGTTGGTTCGGCGAAGGTTGAACAAACATCTGCTTCAGCGCATTGAGTGGTATGAATTGTTCGTGGCCGAGACCGTCGAACAGCAACCACTCCAGCTTATCTGAGCCAGACCAGAACGCGGTCAGTTTGCCTTGGTACACAACCTGGCAAGAGTTCTTGTATGTGTAGATGAACTTTGCTCGCTCACAAGTTACTTTGAGCTCAGCACCTGAGACCTTTTCTGTCGCTCCATCCAGAGTGATTTGCAAGCTGGCGACGTCGGTGTTGAAGAGCGTATAGAAGTATCGAGGTAGGGCGGCGTAAACAATTTCGAATTGCTTAGATCTCTCTGTACTTGAGGAGCAAACAATGTGGACAAAGGATCCAGACTCGGCAAAGAATCTATCCACAAAGGCTTGCCACCACTCAATGTTGTTGTTTGTGCCGTTGAAGTTTCCTATTTGTTCCACGAAGTTCAGCAACTTCAGCGTTCCCTGGCCTGAAGAAACAGTCTGTGCTTGTTGCTGCTTCATCATTGCCATCTGACGGGCCTGGTTTTGGGCAGCGTTCGCTTGAGCCTGTGCCTGAGCTTGTTGTACTATTGCTGGATTCCGTTGTTGCATTTGGTTTTGAGCCTGTTGGTTTGCTTGTTGAGGTAGGTTGGGCGGTTGGGATGGAGTAGGCGTCTGCTGTTGTGGCCCTGGGCCTGATTGTGGCGGTTGGGATGACTGTTGCTGTTGTTGAGCTTGTTGCTGGGCCTGCTGTTGAGCCTGTTGCTGAGCCTGCTGTTGGGCTTGTTGCTGGGCCTGCTGTTGCTGCTGAGCCTGCTGCTGTTGCTGTTGTTGCTGTTGTTGCTGCTGTTGTGGCTGCGGTGGTGGTGGCTGTGGCTGTTGCTGAGGCGTAGGTTGAGGAGCTGGCGACGACTGTCCTTGATGACTGCCTATCGCGGATGGAGGACGAAGAGGCCCTTGCTGAGGCTGAGAGGTTTGTGGTGGTCCCTGGTTCCCTGCCTGGCTGTGATTGCTAGACTGAGATTGGGCATGTTGCATAGCAATCGCCTGCTGTTGTGCCTGCATCTGCTGTTGTTGATGAGCGTGTTGTTGAGCTGCTTGGGCCATGGCAGCTTGTTGTTGCGGGCCTCCAGGATGTTGACCACCCATCTGCTGTTGTTGCTGGAGCAGGTGGGGAGGAAGGTTGACAAACGGTCCTTGGCCCATCTGACCGTTCCTCATTGCTTGCAACTGCTGTGCTTGTGCTTGGTTCAAGTTCATGGGATTCTGGAAACCCATTCCCATACCGCCTTGTTGGTGGGCAAGCATGGCCTGTTGTTGCTGCCTGTGCATGAATGCTTGCTGGGCTGTTCGTTGCTGTTGCATCATTGCAGGGTTCACTATCATTTCTGTCAGTCATTGCCCTACAATTGCACGAAGCGGTAATACTGACTCATCTGATGTTGCTGCTGTTGAGGGAACATGTGCTGCTGAGGCTGTAGGTGTGAGAGGGCATGCGCATTAGCACCCATGCCTGGCTGCATACCCATCATGGGTCCAGCCTGACTGACAGGACCGTTGGGGCCGGAGACATGCTGCATTCCTGGTGGCATTCCGTGTTGGCCTGGGTTCGGGCCAGGGCCGCCCATACCTGGGTGCGCATGCTGCATGCCTTGAGGGGGCATGCCGCCATTGTGTGGGTAGCTCGTTGTCATCATCTTGCTGGATCTTCAGTGCGGACGGTCGCCTCGCAGTTGCGGAAATGTATCGGGTAGAGGTAATGCGACAGTTGAAGAAATTGGGAGGTAGGTCCGCGTGGTACAAAGATTGACCGGCGACGAGATGGGTTCAGCAATGTTATTGCTTCCAAGTCATACGTGCTCGGAAAATCGCGTCAAGTCCAATGGGGGAAGAGTGTTTCAGGTGGTTGCGACGAGATGTCGAAATATGGCCCCGATGTTGCCGATGGGGGAGGCTGATGAATTGCCCGCGCAGGTGTCGCGATGGGCGCGCTGCAGGCCGGTGGTCGGTACTTGCCGGGCACTTGGAACAGGGCGAGGGTCAAGCAAGAGGTCGCGCAAGGTGCAGCGCAATACTCACGAGGGCGAAGAGGTGGAGCTGAGGTGTGCTGCCACGTCTGGCGCGGTGTCGTGTCGGGTGATATCGTGTCGCATCCGTCCCGCCAGCAGAGCGGTGGAGTAGAGACGAGAGAGAGGCCGTCCAGAGGCTGCAGGAGCGGTGCAGCGATGGTGTCTAGCGACGCGGTGTTATGCGACGATGCGTCCGGTGCGAGTTTAGATCCAGGGCCAGGGACGATGCCAGGGACGCGGGCGTCGAGTGGTGGAGTTCTGGCGTGGTGAGAGGTGATGGGCGCATGGCCCTCTCCGAAGATCAGCGCTGGTTAGGGGGCCGTTTCGGTATCGCGCGAAAAGCTGCGTGGCTGGGCAGAACCCAATCTATCCGGTCTGCAACTCACGAGCAATATATCCGCCGGCACAGCAGGACAACAACGCGTCTGACTGTTGTTCACTCGTGTCCGACTTGACAGGGTGTACACTGAAGTCTCTTCTTGCTGTGACGCCTTGCTGCTGGTCGCTACTGCCCGGATGACGATTCCAAATAATCCCGCTTGCCCGTTCGGGTGTACACGTGATGCGACAAATCTTGGCACGCTAATTCGGCGCTGTACTTTTCTTCGACCGCGACACTGGTTTTCTCTCGACAATAAACTCAATCCGCAGGTCGTGATGGACATGCGAACAACCACTGGCTCCGGGCTGCTTCATGCGAATTATCGAAGGCCCGAAGCCAGCCCTCCCTATAACGTAAGTCTACTCCTTTTTTTCTTTGCTTTTCTCTGGAAAGATTATACCCTCAGCAACTTCTTTTCCTTACCGATTCGACCTTGAAGATAGCAAAGCTGTTCGGTTGCCCTTCGCCGGGCGACTGCTACTTGCCAGTACTGTCGTATGACCTCTGTCACTATGCTTGAATCATCTGATTAAGTTTGCATGTCAGATCGCTAATGTTCAAGTACAGTAATCCTCGCTTACTCTGATCGGCGCGTGCCTTTCCGAGTCTTGTCGCCCAGCCCGGCATCGCATCGCATTGCATTCCATCGAGATTTTCGCAATACTATACCAGTCTGGTGACGACTGCATTGTTGAATGTGCGCATAACGCAGGCTCAAACAGCTTTGCGGCGCAATAGCATACGTGTATGGCGCAATCATGACAGCTAACAACAGTTCCATGGCATGTCTGCTGTGATACAAGGTCAGTTTTCTCCATTTTTTTTTCACACCTCTCCCTTTCATGATGAAACATTTCCACATTCGCAGTTTCCACGCTAGCCATCAATTGAACCTACAACCGATGGACAATGAGCGCGAATACCTTCCTTGGATGTCTGATCCTTATACATACTCTGTTCTGTTATTGCTGAAGTTTCTATCCAACAATCACTGACATGGTATAACAGATTCCCGACACTTATTGTAGAGCTTGGATCTCTTGGGCACTTTGGTTGGCGACAGCTTCGTGTTCGCATCAGCTGTATGGATATGGTCAAGATAGCATAGTTTACCACAGTATAGAAATACGATGTACCTGTTGCGACCTTAGCTGCACTCCGTCCTATGCTTCATTCATCGCGAAATGCTCTTAGTCTGCTGACCTCCACCCTAACTTTCATGTTTCGCCCTGTTGATGCCTGCGCTGATGCGAA